CCAGACTAAAGACACAACCTACCTCCTTGAAATCTTGATTCGAAAGAATGAGATGGCATTCTAACACATGAAAATGGCTGAGAAAGCCACTAGGGGGACATTCTGAACTTTCAATTGTTTATTCACATGTCATATATTGAAGTAAGTGTCTATGAGGGGCAGTTTCCAAAAATGGAAAGAGATGAGCAGGGCCACTGTGTTTGACTCAGTACATGAGTGATATCTTAGAAAATCTATGAGGTTCTTATTTGATATTCTAGCTTGTCAATATCGGTAATTTGAGTTCCTAATTTGTACGAAACTATAGACTTAGTATTTCAACACCACAAACATCTAATCTGAACCAGTGCTCCATTCAACATACTATGACACACACAAAAATCGATGTTTAACCGTGTTTTTTTTTAATATGTACTTTTATATTAAGAAATTAAATAATGTATAACACTAAAATTTGAATTATAATCTACAGTTTGATACCAAACTTACTGACATAAATTCATGAAATAGTAGTTCAATAAAATTTTGAATGCGAGTTCAACAAATGTGATGACATGGCCTTTGACATGTGACCTGTCTGGAGAGGATTAAAGTACCACTGTTTATTGGAAAATTAGGGCTTAGTGTAAATTGTTATAAGGCATGTCATCATGATACACTTAATATATGTTTAAAAGGCTATTTTTTTCCCAATATCATTTACTTTTTCCAAAGTTAATTTAAAAAAAAACTAACTTCAAAGCTCAATGGAGACCAGCAAAGAGCCAGCATGAGTCCTCTACTACTAAATACCTTACAAAAAAAATAATGTTACAGAAACTTCTAAAACACACTGTTTAAAGTAAACCTGCACTCTAAAACAAAGTGCAAAGTTCTTAAATGTTTACTGTTCTTCACATGCACCTTTAGCTTTCAAATAAGGTTATGCAGTAAGCAACCCCAGAGTATGGTGAGATCTTCCTGCATGTGTTTCTACTGCAGATGTAAATATTTTAGGCATTCATAGCATTAAACTCCATTAATGCTCCTTTACTGAAAATATTATTGTTTTTTGCAGTTCATTATAAGAATAGTATTATCACTCCATGAAACATAGGAGACATTACACTGTATATCAATCAGTACAAGCTGGTGAAGGATGATTCTTTTTAAAGTAGTAAGAATGGCTAAACATTTATTTTAAAATTGATCATCATTTGAAACACTACTCTTAACTGACCTCTATATAGGTTTCCAGTAAAACAAAAAAAAGAAAGCAACAGTTTTTCGGGATGGCTAGGTTACAATATCTAAACTCTTAAGTTCCAAGTTTAATATCTGTATCAGATAGGAGCGAAAGAAAAGTGAAATAAATTTCTGGTTTTATTGTGATACTTCAGCAGACTTTGAATTTATGAGAAATTAAATCAGGCAAATAAAATTACAAAATAACAGTTATGGAAAGTATATATAAAAGTTATTGAGAAACTGATACAAAGTAAAAAAAAACATTTTATGTAAGATTACAAAGACCAATAAGACTTTTGACAAGAAACCATTATTTTCTCTGCTCACTATCGCAGATGGATTTTTTCCCTCATCTTTTAAGAACTGAAAGAGAATCATCATCCTACAAGTTAATTATAACCTGTTTTTATTACATTCTCTGACAATACTGTTTTCAAGACCACACTATCTTCTGCTCAGTTCCCACAAAGGCTAGAAAGAAAGTACACGTACCTGTATCACTTTAAAAGAACAAATCTGAGAGATATAACAAGAAAATTCATGGTCTCGGTTAATATCAAATTCCACTTGAGGAATTGATGAAAAAAATATCATGCAATCATCATATTGTTTTTTTACTTACTTTCTCCATCTCCATCCACATCAAACTCATCAATCATAGCATGAAGCTCCTCCTCACTAATGTCTTCTCCTAGTTCACGAGCCACTCTCTTTAAGTTACGGAAAGAAATTTTTCCTGTTTCATCTTCGTCAAACAAGCGAAAAGCTTTCAGCATTTCCTCCTTCGGATCTCTGTTCAACATCCAATCTGTAACTGAAACATGAAAAAAAAAGAAAGGTATAATGTTATTTAAGTATATCTTGAATATTTCTCTTATTATAAAATTCTGTTTCAAACTGCTTCACTCAGAATTTTGTGATTTTCAGAGTAACTTTCCAGTTTGAAAAAGTTATTTTTTGAGTCTTGCTACAGATATTTGCTGATTCAATAGTTAAGTTTGGCTCCCAAAAGAAGTCAAGATAGCTGAAGGTAAAAAGCTTACTTCTGTTTATGGGCCTCATTTTGAGTATTTTCATTCATTTTTAAAAGTTCTTTCCACAACTATCTTCTTTATTTTTTACTAAGTAAATTTTAATAGAAACATTCCATTCCAGTAAACAACATATTAAGGCTCTCCATAATCTGTATCATCCTCTACAGTGCAGTCCTTCACAAGTAAAGGTATACAATTCTCATATAAGCTTTAAAGTCTTATTATTTATTTTCATTTTTCTACTTGTTCATTTGAAAATAAGCCTTTGGTTTTAGCATGAAACTAAACCTTAGAAGAAACAATTTATTTGATTAGTTTGGTTCAACAAGTAAATATTTCCTAAGCCATTAGAAACTAATTACAGCTTTACTATGTTTATTGTTTCTTCCAGTTTTCTTTTTACAATAGCCCTATTGGCTGATCGACCAACCTTACAACCACCAAGTAACCATGAAACTATAACTTTTAATGTAGTAAGTGTATCTTCACTAAATTGGGCAAGCTTTTTAATAAAATAAATGAGAATTTATTTAAATATTTATTTTTGAACTTAAGAAATTAAAGCTTATATAATATTAAAATATGAATTATAAACTGTTTTGATGTCAAGTTTATTAGAATATATAAAAAATAAAGTAGTTCAATTAAATTTTGAATATAACTGTAAAAACGGCATAAAATACACACTTTGATATACCTGTTTCTAAAGGGTTAAGTTAAAGAAGGAACTTCATTTACATTATCTTAAATTACATCTGACACTTAAAGATATTGATTAAATCTGATTTTATGATCTGAACGTCAAGAAAGGTGGGTTTTTTTTTTTGTTGGTTATTACTTTTCCATTACAAACAATTTATTTAATATGGTGTTATTTTTTCAGTATTAATAATTACTAAAATACTCCATTGAATACTGTGTGCATCCAGATCCCACAGCTTGTAAATGTTTTAAAAACAAAACTCACTAACCTACTTCTTCAAAGTCACTATAAGAAATTTTATCAATATCCTTGTCATCTATCTTATATTGGCGGATTATTTTCAACACTTCCCCCTTCTTGACATCAAACCCTAAAGCTCTCATGGCAACCTAAATTTAAAAGAAAATTCATATTAAATTGCATACACATTGCATACAAAGATTAATAACTATTTTTATTACTTGAGTTTACTGTGTGACATTTCTTATCGTTAGCTTAGGCACACTGATAAGGTCTGACAAGACTTCAAACTACTGAACTCAGTTAGTTGTGTTTGATCACAAAACTAGAACTGACTATTTCCTTAAGAAGAAATAAGCTACTTGTACTAGCAATCATATGAAGCACTTAACATTAATTGTACTGAAATTTTAGAAGGACTTACTTATACAAAAGGATTTTTGTGTTATAAAAAAATAAAAGGACTTAGGTGTGACTGTTCATAAAATCTAAAGATTTCTGATCAATATTTTTCACCCTCTCAATATGGGTAGGTAAAAGTACACGTCACAATACCAACAATATATGTCAAGAAAATTAGCAATAAAATGCAGTTAATAAATCATGCTCTAATATTATATAAACTTTAACTTCTTAATTTCAAAAGGGAATAATTAAATAAATTCTCAATCTTCACTTCTACGCATTTTGCTATTGGTTAAAAATAACGTAATAGCAAATGTTAGAGAATTTTTAATATTTTTTGAAATACAGTATTTGATAAGAAGGCATGGTAAATGGGCTTGATTTTGTAGTTTATTTCTCTGTAAATCAAGGCAATTGGAGGCTATAAATTTAGAGATGTTTCAACCTTATCTATATTGCAACTATAATTTCTATTAAAAGTCAGAAGTTCAAATAAGAGTAGAAAGGATGTTTAGATGAGCAAATTGGAGCAAACAAGTGTCATGTGTTTTTAATTTACTGAATGACAAATAATTCTAGTTCATTCTAACAACAGATTTTGAATTATTTGTCCTATAGATTCACAGTTGCTGTTGTTGAGTTCATCTCAAACATGGTAAGGGAATTATTTAGATACACTTTATATCTTAGGAAAGTCAAGTAAGTTATCATACTTATAGGACATTGTATTCTTTACAAGTGTTATTATTTTATATTATAAGTTGAATATTTGAAATAAATAGTAATTCAGTAAAATACTAACAACAATCATACCAAAAACTAATGTTAACTTTTATCAAGACATTGAGCACAAAAAGTATAAGACCCACATATAAGTACCAAATTTCTTGTTTTATTTTATCTACATTTTTTATTTATTGTTATAAATATAACTAAAATGTAAAAATTAGAAACTTATTAGGTAAGATAAGAAAAATTAATCACAAATTTCTCAGTCGAGTATGTGCACACAAGCTCTTCATGTTTTACGTAGTTCAATACTTTGTTTACTATAACTTCAGCTATACTGTCACTAAGTGGTTTGTCATTTTATACCACAGATTTAGTAGTAAGACCGAGTTCAAAAAACAATAAAATGAAATGAAAACAGGTGTAAATTTAGCTGTTTAAGATAAGTAACTGGAATTTTTCTGTTTCAATCTAAAGTCACAGAAAGAAAACAAATCTTCATTTATTTCTTTTCTTTGTGGTGCTTATAAGGTTGGTCAAATGGACCAAGCTTGTATATTGTTAGAGTAAAGAATATAACAGATAAAATATAGTTTTATTGAAAAACTTCTGATATTCATTTAGGAGGTTCTATAGATTATACAAAAGAAATATGAAAAATGAAATCTTAACATGAAAATCCCCTTTCTCTCAGACTAGTCAGCCTTAGTCAAGCTACGATTATAAATTCACAGACAATTCTTTAGTAGAAATATTAAATGAAAAAATTTGGTTTTTCCTTTACAAAAGAATTGTAATGTTTGCTAAAAGTTTGCCAATTTTTACGATAATACACTTACTACCTTAAAAATTACAGTATGTATACTTTCATCATTACCTGATGGTTGTGGTTTATCGAAAAAAAAAAAAGATGAACTTTTTGTGTCAGTTAAGGCATTCAGAAATGAACTAGTTTTAGGTCCTTTTACTTCTTTTTAATAAGTAGTTTTGCTTTTTTTTTGACAAATAGGTTCAATGACCGTTTATATTTTTTCTTACACTCTTATATAAAACAGTTGATAAAAAAAAACTGCCATCACCTTGCATTCATAGTAACTTAAAAAAGTATCTTGATCACTGTCAAACAGGTCAAAAGCTTCCCGGATCTCTTGCTTTCGAGCATCTGGCAAAGTCCTCCTCTTCTTGACCCGAGAGTCCATCATTCAAATAGATATGAAATGTGATATGAATATTCAAATATCTATAGAATATAACAATAAAACTGAAAGATAGTGGAAACTTGCAAGCACCTGCTTCATAAATATCCTGATAATAAGAAATACTTTATTAACATCAGACCTGACTTTAAAAATGTACTTAAATGTATATTAAAACTAAAATTATATAAATCCATTACAGTTCAAAATGTATACAATTCAAATTTCCTATTAAGCACACACTCAAAATGCACAATCTCATTTCAGACTTGAGCAGAAAATTAAAACTGTTATGTGTATCAATGCAAAATTGAAAAATACATAACTGTCCACAGTTTTTGCAACAAAAACATTCTGAAAATGATAAGCTCACAGTGACATGGGCACTTGCCTTAAATCAAATACATGTGCTGCCCACTTTGCACAAGCTACATGTATGGTTTCACAATAATAACATTACCATTGATTCCTATGAGTTTTTAAGCACCGTCTTAAAAATATTCACACATATACATGCCTTTTATAAGCAGAAAATATAGCATCATTTATTTATAATTTTATATCACGCTAAAAAATAACACATTTTAGAAGTAGAAAATCAAATAAGAAATCATTTGATATTACTTTGAATAATCAACACCAGTATCCTGTTTTTAGCTCTTAGTCTTTCACAACATAAAATAGTTGACAACTTTTTTTTCAACATAAGATACAACAATGTCAATTTTTATGGGAACCTGTACAAATAAATATTTTGAATTATTTTTGAATATGATTATTAAAATTCTACCAGATAGAATATAATTTTATGTTTATTATCACAATGATCTTCATAATTAACAACAAGAATTTTAAAAGAAATCGTTTACTTCTAAACCAAGATTTTATTAAATTTTCACTGACTTTCACGATAACATTTGAAACTTAAATATATATATATATATATATATATATATTATTTTTATGATTAACTTGCACTTCTATCGCTTACACTTGTTTAGATAACATTAAATAGACATTGTGGTAGAATTTATACTAAGACTAAGGTTTTAAAATTAAAAATAAAATACTAAATTAATTACTATAGACAAATACTAACAGTAATAGAGTGAAATATCCTTAATCATAACGATTGTATTAGTATTACTATTGTTAGTATTAAATTTAAACTAAGTCTAACGAGGTCTAACGTTATTTATAACATGTATCTATACTTTAAATTTATGGTCTAATAAAACATGTTAAAAAGTAAAATAAGTTCAATATAACTGTATAATCTACACAAATAATTAAGTCTTAAACTAGAGCTTACAAATACAAGTTACGCTGATCCACATCTACCCTCTCCTTGTTTTGAAATAACCATAGTGCCATCTGGTGATAAATTTTCACTAGTCATACACACACAAAATTTAAACAAAAATACTACCAACACTGCTTTTAAACCCTACCAATTACTGCTGTGATTCCCTGAGTGCTTTAAATAAAAAAATTAAAATTTTCCCCTTAATTTTGCCATCCTTAAGAATATTTTATAATTCAGCAAAATGTTGTGATTAAATTATAACAACATGGATTTTTTAAAACAAACAAATATTATTTAAATCAATTTTAAGTAGGAGTGCGTATCTCATCATAGTAATCGATATGACACCTATCGAGATACAAAAGTTTTACCAACGGTTTGTTACAAAGTTTGACAGTCTTGTCTATAATTTATTATATATATTACTAACATTGTCTTATTTAAGTGCTTCAAACTTTAGAGTGCTTTTTTTTCAAATTCTCAGGTTTGATCAACTAAATGGCAGCTAGCAAGAGAAGAAAAAAGAAGTTAATATTTGTCTATCAATTTTGTTATTGGTAATTTGTTATGTTACTTTACATGTAATGTTTTTGATAAAAAAAAATGAAAACAACATGTAGTACTCAATACTCATCTTCCTTTATTGAATAATTATTTTTAAGCAAAAATATTTTACTAGGAATTCAGATTTTTTTTACAAAACGCCCCCCAGTGGCACAACGGTATGTCTGCGGACTTACAACGCTATAATCTGGGTTTTGATACCCGTGGTAGGCAGAGCACAGATAGCTCATTGTGTAGCTTTGTGCATAACTTCAAACAAACTGTACAAAAGACCTATAATGTTTACTGAAAGCTTGCCAAATTTCGTGAATGGCCCGGCATGGCCAGGTGGTTAGGGCACTCGACTCGCAATCTGCGGGTTCGAATCCTCGTCACGCCAAACATGCTCGCCCTTTCAGCCATGGGAGCGTTATAATGTGATGGACAATCCCACTATTCGTTGGTAAAAGAGTAGCCTAAGTGTTGGCGGTGGATGACTAGCTGCCTTCCCTCTAATCTTACACTGCTAAATTAAGGACGGCTAGCGCAGATAGCCCTCATGTAGTTTTGCGCGAAATTCAAAACAACTAACCAATTTCATGAAGATACATAAACCGTATCGGACGATGTATCAATACAATTGTATCACGACTTCGGGATACGATACTCGTATCGTTGTATCGCCGCACCTTTATTTTTAATCATAAAATTAACAAATTATAATTAATTATTTTTATTGAAAAATAATGTTACAATTTTGATTAATACTTGAAAGTATATTATTACCCATATCTTAGTATTGTTTGAAATAAGGTTTAGGTGAAAAATTGTAATTCATCTAACTGTTTTAACACATTATAATCATCTGTTCTGATGCATAATTTAAGAAATTTAAATTGACTAGGAGATTTGAAAGATCAAGACAGTTGGTCAAACAGGAAATTAGGACATCAAAAAGGATGTATGATGTTTGTTTTTGAAGTTAAGCACAAAATTGCACAATGGGCTATCTGTGCTCTGCCCAACAGTGGTATAGAAACCCGGTTTCTAGTGTTGTAAGTCCACAGACGTACCACTGTGCAAGTGAGGAATAAAAAAAATAGAAGGTTTGTTGAAAATGTTGTGGAGACAGTAAATTTACGTGAGTTTAAGAGAAAGTTTGATAACTATATGAATGATAAGGACTAGCTTTAAGATTTTTAAAAATTTATAATAGTTTAGTTTAGAGGATGTGACAGCCGAGATGGACCAGTAGGTCCCTTGTTGGCCCTAAACATTATGTTCTGTTATAATATCTTCATCTGTTAGGGTACAATCTAATAATGCCATTCGCTGGTATAAGGAAATGCTGTCCTCCAAAAAAGAAGCAAATACATTTCAGAGATACCAATGTTTTAATTCAACATTAAAAATTGTAGGACTGAAACAATGATTTGTTTGGTTGGTTGGTTTTATGCACAAAGTTACACAATAGGCTATTTGTTTTGTGATCACTTTGAGTATCAAACCCCACTATACTAGATATGTACAAAAGTAAATTAAAAACTTAGGAAGGGTGGAATATGTGTGTGTGTATTTATTTATTTATATTAAGGATGGGAGGGTTATCTAGAAAACTGAAATTATAAAATCTGTGAGACCCAGTAGCTCATCGGGAAGCTTGAGGGCTTTTTCGCTAAAAATGGAGGCTTGGCATTCGTGGTGAGCATAGCGCAGGTAACCTTATGCTGTTGTTGTTTTAGCACAAAGCTACATAATGGGCTATCTGCACTCAGTCCGCCGCGGAGAATCAAATCCAGGATTTTAGCAACGTCATTCATTAAATTAACCGCTGACCGCCTTCTGTGTAGCATTCTGCGTACATACAAATAATAAGTATATTATAAAATCTCTCTCAATATTTTATCTGAGAGAAAGTTATTCATATAGAATTCCATTTAACATAGTATATTGATACATCCACAAATAGTCAACATTAAAAACTGATATCTTATAGCTAATCCTTTCGAATGTACATCGGGAAAATCAAGTATAAAAGTATCGAGCATAGTTTGCTGTACAATGATTTATATTTATTATCTAAAATGTACGTTACACAATGGAGACATAAGCTGCCAATAGCTTGTAAAAGGGATCCTAGTGGTTACTGGCCAGGTTGCGGATAGAAAGGTTCAAGGTTCGTGCCGCGATGTCCCTGAACACGCTTGCCATTTTCAGCTGAAAGTGCGTTATAAGCGTGACAGTCACTCTCTTTATTCGATTCAAAGATAGAAAAAACCTTTGTGGCCGCGAATACGGCTGACGGCTGCCTTTCCTCTGATCAGTAGTTGACAATTAGGGACAACTATATCTCAACTATAGTGGTTTCTGACCTCGGCTCTTAGTAGCTTTGCAATAAATACAAATTATTTTAAAGATATGGATTGATAGTTGGTAAGCACAAAGCTACACAATGAGCTATCTGTGCTCTGCCCACCACAGGTATCGAAACCCGGTTTTTAGCGTCATAAGTCTCAGAGGAAAGTTAAGGCACTGGGCAAAGTATAAACTAGTGTCCCTCCCTTGCTTTTAAGAAAATAACATACAATTTGATAAACTAAATTGATTAGCATTAAAAAATTAGCGAAATAAAAAAAGAAATATATATATTTCTTTTTTTAAAAACTGGTTTGTTATTATATTCGCAACGCACGGTGGTGAGCCCTGAGCAACTGCTCAATTTGGTTTGAATTTCGCGCAAAGCTACACGAGGTCTACCTACGCTAGCCGTCCTTAATTTAGCATTGAAAGACTAGAGGGAAGGCAGCTAGTCACCCACCGCCAACTCTTGGGCTACTCTTTTACCAACGAATAGTTGTTACATTATAACGCCCCCAGACTGCGAGTCAAGCGCCCTAACTACCTGGCCATGCCGAGTCATCCATTTTGCTTGTTGGATAAAACGTCCAGCGTAAGCCTACAGACTTTCCGCTGAGCCACTGGGGCAATACTTTTAAAATAAATAAATATTATGTCAAAATATAGTACGAATTGAATCATTGAAAAAGTTTTCAGTTTCGAAAATATTGTCTCTCTCTCTTTTCTTTGCTACCTGATGTTGATTCGTATCCCTTTTTTTCAGATAAAAACCGTCTCAGTAACGCATAAGTAACATTTAATACAATAATAGATGATACAATTAAATTTAGTGCTATGGAAGTTCGTTTTCTTTGGCGGTTAAATATTTTAAAGAGTTATTTAATAACGAATAATTAATTACACACACACTACACAAATATACATGTGAACTCTCTATACGTAACGCTAAGTTTTTTATGTAAAGGCACATCTGAACCAGGAAACGTGTATTTTTTCAGGTTTTTTAATTAATTTATGTCAAGGGAAATTCAGATTATGGTATAATATGCAATAAATAATGTATAAGCAAGTTTAATACAAATCCAAGAGATTCGAATTAAAACTATGCACCTGTCAATACTTATGTATGCTTTTTTAACTGGTTCATATCTCACCTAGATCACGTTTTCTTATTATAATAATATATTTCTTATCTTAGTAACAAGTAAGAAATTACTATATTGAAAGCTAACGTTTCTCTTCGATAAATTTGCTCATCCTTACTTTCATAAAGTAATTACTAATATATAAATATTATACATTGTTATTAAGTACAGCCTGATACAAAAATGTGGTAATTACATTTAAATCCTTCTCAATACATGACAAAAGTTTGATGACGAAATTGTCTTGTAAATTTTTCCATGAAGACCATAACGAGATTTTTTTTTTGATTCAACACGTTATCTGGATCTGAAAGCATTCTACTAAGTTACCTATGTTTAACGTTGTCCACCAGTTGTTAAAAATTTGTGACAAAGATCAAAGAATCTTCCAAAACACTTTTATTACTAACATAGTATTTCAAACAAGTATTAAACGAAAATTATGTTGATATTCTAGAATATAGCAGGTCACTAATTACAAAACTGACTTTCTTTACCATTTTATTTTACATCTAATAATAACAATTTCACACATAACACATATGTACAGTTGTAACGCTTAATCTGCATAAACGTTCTACGTAGAGGATTAAAACTGTTGCCATCCTATTACTGCTATCGCATTCAATTAAGAAAGATAGTTTATATTTTCATCTATAATATATTCTTAAAATTAAACTTTGTTCTTTGTATTTACAGAGACGTTTTTCAGATTTATACAAAAAAAATATTAGTAATAAATATCTAAAGTAAAATTTCTCCCGCTTCACCTATCAGTGATAAATAATGACTGTAATAGACACTTGCAAAAACAAAGTACAGATTTATAACAGACTCTTACGATCCAACAGTCTTGGTTCACTCATTAACGCTGTTTTATGTTTTGTTTTCACAGATTATACCAGCGGTAAGACGACCAGCTATCTTGTAATTAAGAAGTATATTATCTTCTTCAATTGTCTGTTAAAATATTCTGGTAAAAAATGATATTTTATGTACATTATGATGTCAATGCAATGGCAGTTGATGAGTCTTGAAAGTGGAATAATGCAGATGACGAAACCATGCTACGATTAATTAGTTGCTAAATTCTCATTTGTTTCTTTTCAATACAGGTTGTGGTCTTGCTATCACCATGAACAAAATTTCCCTGGAGAGTTTAAAACTGAAACATTATATCATCGCTACCTTTGGGCTTCTGGGCAGTGCCATGGCGACCTATGGTGTTTTACGTGTTTTGGGGTTGAATCCTCTCTGGTCAATGGACAGAGCTGTGAAATGGTGCGCCAAACAAGAGTACATTCACCTGGATACTACTCCTTTCTTCTCGATGATGCGTTATTGTGGTTTCATGTTGGGTATGGGCCTTGGTCTCAACTCTGCATTTAACAAGAAAGCCAGTGAAGTTCCATTCTCTTCGGGTATGAAAATAACATCCGCCATTTTGGCTATTGGAGTAGCTAAATTGTCCGAGAGAGTTCCCCTGGCAAAGTTTAATATCGGCTTCTTTTACTTCTCAGCATTCGTCGCTAACACCATCCTACCATTCTTGATGATTGCCATGGTTCCTTACATCGTGTCCAGAGTTTGGCCAGTCATTGTTAGAGGTGTGGACAAGAGAAAGCAGCATTGGAAAGAAGGTTTTTGTTGTGATTGTTAATTGATTTGTAGGAAAATAACCACTAAATCTGAAGAAGACAAAATTTTATCACATTTGTGTAAACATTTAAATGTTTAGTAAATAATTAATAGAAGAAATGTTAGCTCGTGCTGCTTTTTGTAAACTTTGACCTCATTTGAGATTTTTTCCCCATCTGTATAGCACGAGCTTGTTAGCATCTATAAGCTGGTCAATGTACACGATCCTGCTCTGTGTGGTCAGTCTGTCTCGAGTGTACCTAGCTGCACACTTCCCTCACCAGTGCTTACTGGGAATGATTATCGGTTAGTTGAACGTATTAGTTGACTACTTATTTAAATAAAATATTACCTTAATAATCAGACGAGAAATGTTTATTAAAAGGAAGTGAAGTAGCTTTAAAACATATTTTGAAAATATATATATTTAATTGTTTATTGTATAAATTGATTGTGTGTTAGGTTAAAGTTTGCATAGATTTGTTTACAAAGTTTTGTAAAGTTCGAAACCTTATTTATATATTTGCGACTGGAGTAAAGTTTTAAGAAGACATTTAACTATATGTTTTATCTGAAAGAAAAAAAATTCAACTATTTTACAAGTGAGATAATTAATAATCATTTCATTCCAAAACAAGTAAGTTAGTGTAATATTATTCTATGAAGATCATTATTTAAGAACTGTTTTTAGTATTTGAATACTATCAGGTTTTTTTAGGGTATTACATGGAGAACGCCCCTACTGGTGGATATACGAAACACAAGTTTACAACAAAACTGGCTCCAACACGCCAGCCATTCAACAATACTTCATGACATGTGAGACAGGTCCAGGTACGGCACATTTTCATTACAATTCCGTTAGTTTTCTTATATTCATGATTATTGTACCCAGTGTTTTACACAGATCAGTTGTCATCGTATGCTCTCTTTTTATGTAGTAATCAATTACTAAATAACTGCCTAGGGAAACAGAAGATGAAATTTAAATTGAAAAAAAAGAATATATAGTGTTATGATATTATAGACTGTGTCACCACTTCTTTTGGACATATATATATTATTATTCCAAATTTAAATTTGATAATATAAATTTGGCTAATGACTCAGAAACACATTTAAACAAATCAACAGTTTTTTCATCTCTTTTCTTTTCTAGAAACAGTACTTGTTTAAAATGTATATTTCATTGTAATATTTGTTTATTTGACACGGCAAATATACGAACGTAGTAAACTTTTTGTTATATTCTTGTAAATTTGAGGTGTAATTTTAATAAGTATGTTTTTATTTTTAGGCAGTCCATCAGGTCATGCTATGGTTTCTGCAGCGGTATGGTACATCCTTATCACAGCTTTCTTGGAAAAATCTGCACCTGTAAGAAAAAACCAGTAAGTAGTTGACACTGACCAGTGAATGGTTAATTTCTTTTAAAAAAGCGAGGTTCTAATGTTAACTAACGAGAATGAAGCAGATTAGAAACATATCAAGTTTACTGTCACGTTGTTTCGAATGCAATGTTGCAAAATATTTTTGAAAATTGAGTCAGAAAATTATAAAGTGTTAGTAGTTTTAGAGTAAGATTTTAAAATAAAGAGGATAAGTAACGTTCTCAACAAAAAGTACAAAAAATAGAAAAGTAGTTAATTTGAAAATTAAGAAAAACATTCATATTTTTTATATGACCTCATATGCGTACTTTTGTTTACTACCAAACAATTTTCTGTTTTATCTTTTGTAAATATGATTACAAGATAAATGTTTGAGACTCTGACTGGAAACTGCAGATAGATTTTTTTAGTACTATTAGAAGAAAGTGATAATAAAACTTACCATTTCAAAACCTGGTTGGACCACTCAGCAATGATGCTAACCCACATTAACTTTGTTCCTATCTTACGGTCCAACGAGAAGACAAGTGGTGCGTAAAAGAGGAAAGCATATCGAGGATCGCCAATATTCGAAATAGTGAAAAATACACTTTTCTGTTGCTGAAATCTGAAATGACGATATATATTCGTAAGATATTGGAATCAACAAAAAGGAATACAATACTCCTAAATTCCTTTTCAAATCTGTGCGAAAGATGCATATATTTCAAAATAATATGATTTTTCAAAAAGATAAGTGCTATCACTATGTTAGAAATATGTACTGGGTGTTTACGAACTGCAAAACAGGAACAAAATGATTCTCACCGTGTCTGTAAGGTCTGAATTGCAGAAACGCTGTTTTCGTAAATCAAATCCATAGTATCTGAGAGACGGTAAAGATTTTCTGGTGTAGGTGTTCACAAATTCTGAAGAAGAAAATAAATAAATAAATATATACATTGGTTTTAAGTATTTGTAATATTGTAAATAATAATTGAAACTACTTTAATGTAACCATTTTAATCTACTTTTTTCACGTGATAAAAACCAAAACTGAATTGTAAACTTCATTAAAAGTTATTATTGCCCCCCCCTCAGTAGCACAGCGGAATGTCTCCGTACTTACAACGCTAGAATTCGGGTTTCGATACCCGTGGTGGGCAGTGCACAGATAGCCCCTTGTATAGCTTTTGCTTAACTTCAAAAACAACAATAAAACAAGTTAGTATTGTAAAATATATTTCCAAAGTTATGTTTAATTCATGAACTTAAAATTGTTTAACCCATCAAGAAAAAATAAAGAATCGTAGTAGCACGCTTCAAAATTAAGTTATTTTCCAGATTTCTAAAAAATTTGTATGTGTTATGTCTGATGCTTTTGTATGTTCCAAATGACCATGAATATAAAGAAGAAAAAGATCTATTATTTTATGAAGTCTTACAAAAGCATGTTCTTTCTCCTTAATGTTACTCCTCACTAATTAGAATATATTTATTTACGTCAGATGACAAAATTAGGTGAGTAAAACATGACTTGTTATTTCAAAAATCAAGTCAGGAAGGTTTTATCCAGACATGGTGGCGGAGGACTCTAGTTCCATACAAAGTTATTCTGGTTTTGAAAGGTAAGTTTCTATGAATTGTCTTATTGGGAAATACATTTCGAGCAGATTTAAATGGATACTTTGTAATTAATTTAGTATTGCAATGATCTATACATTTTATACATTTAAAAGGATTGATGTATCACAAAAAGCTACTGATGCGTATCGAATGTGTTTCTGAGTAATTAATCCAACTTATTATGATATTAAATAATTACATTTATATATTAATAACTCATATCGGACGTTACCTGACTTACACGATCTATTAGTTAAATACATTTAAAGGCTAGTTCCAAATGTTTCAATAAAATTTGAGGCAGTCTTAAGTTTGCTGTATACGATAGTAGGCTTAAGTTTAAAAAAAAACACATATTTTTCTTACCTGTTACACCACAATATCTTCTGGTTATTAGTTGGAAGTTGGTAGTAGATTCTCACAATTCTCTTCGTCTTGTCTGCGATGTGTATTGAACACCAAGCTGCTATCCCGCCTTTATATAGTTGGAAACCACTGACCAATAAGATGTTTACGAGTTTTTGATGACGCACGGCCAGAATTTCGAGCAAAACAAGCTAGAAAGACAACCCGAGTATAACGATGTACTGTTGCTGAGGCCTTGTCATTTTTTAATTTTTTAGTAAACTTTGACATATCTCATATAAGAACCAGAGCAAGTGATTGGCTTCCCTTCTGGTGTGACCAGCGTTGGAGTTTTTTATTGGTTGAAACAGTATATTTGTTGTGTGAGCATCGTATGACGTCGATTTATATACTGTTTACTCCACGCTTGTTCTTTTCGGTCAACTGGCCATCTATTTATTTCGAACTATTATCGTCATAATGTAATGTATATCTTTTACATCATATCAACCTGTTATTTCTAGTCAACAAGAAACTTAAGTTCTCGGGGTCACAACAAAGCAAGTTCGAGGTAAACACATATAGTAAACTAAGAAATATATTAGGTATGTCTTAAATAAAAGCGTTTGTTTTATCAGTTCTTCGATTCAAATCAGTATATTTCATATTCGCGTTAAATATATTTAAATCCAATCACATTTTATGCATCTCCAAGTATTAGTACTTGTGGTCACTTTGACAAAAGAACAGTCAGTTTATGATCTGAACCTAAAAAGATGCTTACGTTGTGTTTAAAAATCATCCTGATTATATTGTATTTTTTAACAAATCAGTGAAGTAGAGAAGGTGAAAATTCACGATTGTTATAAACAAAATAGCACGTCGATATTAACAAGGTCGTTCCGAGTAAACAAAACAAAATATGTTTCTGTCACTGTTCTTCAGCTATTAACGTATAGAGAAACAAGACTCAAGGAAATTAACCTATGATATTCGTGAAGTTATTACTATAAAGCTTTCTGTTGCTCCGAGGTATATAATGGAAACCTGTAGCAATTTAAAACAGTTAATACCATAAAAAAGACAGGCACCTTCCAGTGTCTCACCGGTACACTTGAGGGCTTAAACACTAAAAATCGAGGTTCGATAACCTGCGGTGACCAAAGCGAGGTTGGCCCATCACGTACCTTTGCACTTAAACACAAACTAATATAGAGAGGTTATCTTTTAATTATTTTGATATATTTAGTAATATATTTTAATACATAATCATTCATATGTTCTAATATATGCCCCCCCAGTGGCACAGCGGTATGTCTGAGAACTTACAACGCTAGAATCCGGGTTTCGATACCCGTGGTGGGCAGAGCACAGATAGCCTATTGTGTAGCTTTGTGCTTAACTTCAAACAAACAAACAAATCTAATATATATAGTAATATTAATCAATGTTTAAGTATTTATGTGTGTGTGTGTGTAAATTTCTTGAAATGCGTAATAACAACCCGCATCTATTTTATTATTATTTTCTGGGAGGGAGGGGGACATTTTAATCAAAAATTGGCTCTGGTAATTTGTATTGAGTGAATACTTTAACATAAACCGACAAACCAGAAATCAGTAACTACAGTGCCATTTTAATCCATGAGATATTTAAATTTTAAACGTTAGGTTTGCCCTTATGGTAGGTAACAGTAAGTTCCACATTTAATCCCATACGTGGACTGACTCAAT